TAAGAAATGCAAGCAGTTGTTAGATATTGTTTGTTTCAACTTTGAAACAGAATTTTACTTTCAACCATTTTTCAAGATTACATCACCTTAATGGAAGCGTATCCTGAGACTGCAAGATGGACTTGAAACAAACAAAATGCTGATATTTAGATTTTCTCAAGACTGTGCAACAGAAGTAAAGTGAATTTTGAGATTGAGTTGAAATTACAACTATCATCCATAATTTCTAATTTCAAGTTTTCATATTAATCAAAACAGCCTCACTGATTTCAGTAAGAAATGACATAAATTTGATAAATAATAGAAATTGAACTGTATCATCTTATACTTATAAAATATCATTTACTGGTTTTATATATTGGAGGTTATCATAAGATTTTATTTGAAAAGAGGTTTCTATTGCAAAAAATCTTTAGAAATCATTGCTTTAAGCTACAAATTTCAATAGAATGTAAACGATTTAGCGTATCAATTTGGCTTTAGATACAGATTTCTTACCTTACACAGTGATGCAATGCAACATGTTAGCTTTTCTATTCTATTAGGACTAGATTATTTAGACATTTAAATTCAAGAAATTTTGAAATTTTGAAATGAGTTTTGCTCCCTTTTTGGAAATTGATATTAGTAAAAGTATATAAAAAAGCTTTGAAAGTAAATATAAAGGTTCCAATGATGTCTATTTCTTCTCTGGTTGAGACTTCCTTCCACTATAAGTACCTGATTTCTTCTTGCCTTCTACTGTTAAAGGAAGAACACTGAAGAAAAGGATGCTCTGCTTGCGTTCTTCCAGCTCTGATCATTTTGAGCCTAGTAATCCCTCCTATATTACAGAACAGAATCTCTGAAGAACACACTAAGAAATGTGGACACAGTGAAACTACGAAACAGCAGAGTCCTAACTGTTCTAATGATATATCCTAGAAATAATTTGCTCGACTTTCTCCTAAACATAACTTAATTATAAAATAAAAATAACTAAAATGAGGAAAAATGAATCAATGACAAAATCACTTGAAAGTCAATTTTACCAGGAAAATACCAGGTTATCATTCTACATAGTCCTGTAGAATGATATCTATGCTTCATTCTATATAGCATGTATATTCATATAAAACTGAGAGCAGCCACTGATAGAGACCCATGAATACATACATCCATTGGTTAAAAATTACATATTTTAATGTGACAAAAAATTATTCCTATTACCTGCTCATAGTTTAAACGTTGAATTTCTGAAATTTCTTTTGGCTTTGCATCAAGCATGTAATCTCCTGTAAAAAGAAATTGTAAAGTTATCTTTTTAAAATGTTATTTTTTTCTGATTACAAAGGTAATAGATTTTTTAAAATGTTTATTTATTTTAATTAGTTTCAAGCATACAATACATTGGTTAGACATTTATATAGTTTATAAAATGATCCCCCTAATTGCTCCTTCTCTCCTCTGGTTTTCTACCTAGCTAATATATTAATGCTAACTGCATTCCCTATGCCATATTCCTCATCCTCGTGACCATCTATCAACTACTAATTTGTACTTCTTTAACCCTTCACCCCATTCTCCCGGTCCCCCAACGCCCCCTCCTCATTGTCTGTCACCAGATTGTCTTCTATATTTGTGTCTGTTTTTGATTAGTTTATGCTTTTTGTTTCTTAGATTCCACATATAAGTGAAATCATATGGTATTTATCTTTCTCTGTCTGACTTATTTCACTCAGCATAATAACCTCTAGGTCCATCCATGTTGTTGCAAATGGTAGGATTTCTTTTTTTTAATGGACAAAGGTAATAGATTTTAATTATAAATTATAGCAATGAGTGATATATAAAATTAACCACCCCCAATTCTATTCAAGGAAAACTGATGCTGTCTGCTAGTCTCACATATTTTTTTCAATGTACATAGTCTAATGCTTTTGAACTTTTTCTTCTATTTTATAATATATTTGAGCATCTTTCCATGTCACTATAATAAAGCTCTAAAAGACTGTATCAAGTTTCACTGCTATTCATAATATAACTATTATCCTAATATCTTTCTAAGAACGGGTTTATCAGTCTTCTAAATGTTATTCTGAGAAGTAAACAAAATCTTTTAGCATGTAAAAAAACGATGTCTTTTTATATACACATTTTTAATATATGTATTACTTTTAGTATATGTGGTACCTTTTAAACATATGTAGCTCAATTTTAATACCTTAAGTACATCTTTATCTGTTTTGTCTTTTTAATTAACTATATACACTTCTTTCCTTTGAATTGCTTGCTTATAGAAGTATTATTTCTTCTTATTGAACTGTAAAAGCTCCTTTTCAATTAGAGGAATTAGAACATTTACTGTTTGTTATAAGTGTTGAAAATATTTTTTCCTCACATGGGCTTCTCTAACTTTATGGTGATGTTTTTTTGTCTACTTTTTGTGATGCAGAAATATTTAATTTTAATACAGTCAAATTATTCTATTACAGCTTCTGGGTTGGATGTCATGTTTAGAAAGATCTTCATCTCTTAAAACTATATAAACATTCACATATGTATTCTTCATGTATATTTGTTTGTCTTTTTTAATAATTAAATATTTAATTTATCCGGAATTTATTTTGAGATACAGTTATATATAAAACTAACTTCTCACTCAGCCTCCCAAATCACTAACAAGTTGACAAAATTATTTATAACCTTTATTTTCTAATTCAAAATAAACTTCTAAAGAATACATCAAGTATTCTCTTAAGCTTTACAACTCTGGTAAAAGAACTCCTGTGAACATCAATATATTATTATTTGTACTTTTAATTAGAACTTTAAGATAACAAACCTAACTAGTAAACATTTTATTCTGCATAGGTACAATAACTCCAAAAGCTCTAAATTAATTTATAGAAATATACAAGCAAGTCTATTTAATGAATATTTTTGAGTCCTTATTCTATATGGCACATCGTGTGTCATGTACATATTTTTTAATATATGTATTGAGGTTTTGATACATTTAACTGAAAACTATGGTTTGAGTAAATTCTACGTATTATGTATTTAAATAATTGAGAATATAATTGCTATACTTGTATCCTATATTTCATTGAACAAAAGAATCAGATATTTTTAAAGGGCTGAATTTGAGTTTCTAAAGGAGCATCTTTCAGTTTTAGATACCCAAATAAGTCTCTTAAGAGTGCTATTTTGTCTAGCTTACCTAACCTTTATTATCTGTAATTGGTCAACAATACTATTTCAATCAATAATTATTTATTGAGAGTCTATTATGTGTTTAGTAGTGGGTTAAACCAAATATTAGGAAATGAATGGTTCTTTTAAAAAAGCAATAATTTGGTTGAGCAAAGAACAAAAGGAAACTGCATAAGATGATAAAGCATAATATAGTAAAAATGTAATAAATGCCTTAAGTATCAAATAATTTTGAAAAGAGATATTGATAAAGCCTGTAGCGCTTAGACATATATTTTGGAGGGGGTAGTATCTAAACTGGATTCAGAAAAGGGCAGAACTTGACAAGGCAATGAAGAAAAAAGCATTCTTTGAGGGAGAAAGAGTAATAGAAAAAGTACATATTAAGAAACATCATTTCATATGGATAGCTCATAAGAAGGTTTACATGTAAGATATAAGATGCAGAGTGGTGAGAAATATGGCTGGACAAGTAAACTTAATCAGATTATAGACAATCAAAAATAATATAGCTACTTATGAAAGATCACAAGGGATCTTTATGTTTTTAAGTAGACAAGAGCAGGATGAAATTGATGCTTTCAAAAGATAACTGGTATGTAGGGTAATTTGGAAGGGAGAGGAAATAATAGTTTGCAATAAATCATGTTGTGAAGTATTAGTATACGAAGAAAGAATTCCAAAGAAAGAATTCATATGATTTTGCTAATAGTGGAATATTTCAGACAAACAGAAATCAAGAAACAAAAACCTGATTGCTTCGTTAGGCAGAAAAATGGAAGAGAGGGTTTGGCAGTAGTTAGCTTAACCCAGGTGAGCATTCGGAAAAAAGAGGAGACAAGGTCAACTATGGACAAAATCAAAATGCTTCAACACCGACCTCCCTATATAGTTTTTATACTCAAAAGATAAAATAAATTATCTTTTAAAAAGTCAGACACCACCACCATCCCAAAAGCTATTTTCCTTACTGTAATACTATTAGTCTAATCATCAGACAAACAAGTTTGGATGAGTAAAGTTATAGTATAAGTTCCAATTTGTGTTACACTTTTTTACATTATCTTCCTACCCATTTTCTGCCTTCCACCTACACTTCTTCCCCACCTTATTTTATTAGACATCCTAGCACGTCCTAGGTATCCTAGCCTGTCTTGCTCCTTTCTTTATGCCAAAGCCCCCAACAAGCCTTGTCCATGTATGGCACTACTCTACTACTCTAGTGACAAAAATTTCCAAATTAAAATTCAATCCTTCTCTAACCTTTGCCAAATTTCTCATTCTTTGAGGTTCCTCAGCTAAGTGCTAGAAAAGCAATTAATAGTTTCTCTTATAATCTTTCTACTTTTGCTTATTAACTCTGGTTCCTCTAGAGAACTGGAGTAATCTCAAGAGGAGAAAATTCAAATAATTTAGAAAATTAAACAATTTGTCCTGGCAGGATTAGTCCTGAATAAAGTTTACTTTTGGTGAGGAAAATTCTTCAGAATCTCTTTTCTCATATCACTCTTGCTCGTTTCTCCCCCATCTCCCATTAGGATTATGTTACTTTCATGCTGCCCCTAGTAGCTGAGTCCCCTCATCCAGGATTTCCGAACCTCTTTCGCTACCCTAGACCTAGATATTTCATCAATTTTTCTTTTTCCCCATTAAAATTTTCTAGCCTGTGTCCTGCTTCCTCCAGGCTTCGCTAGCTAACAGATAAATTTAACATACCAAACCTCCATGATGACTATTAACACCACTCTACTTGCTTTTTTCTGCACACCTTCTGAGACCAAATGAACTCTTTCGCTGTCAGTCCCCATAACTGTGGATACAGTTTAGTGGCAGAGACCCATGAGCAGAGCCAGAAGGTGTAAGTGTGGCGGTGCTAACAGTACAAAAGGACAAGACTGGAGTTTGAAATAAAAGCATCACAAATTGTAAGACTGCTTCATTTGACAGATGAGGAAACCAAAGCTCAGAGAGGTTAGATAATGTGCTGTCTTCATCTGGGTACCTTCTTAGGTGATTTAAAGGCTGAAAGACTCATCATATACTCAAAAGTATACCCTTCTCCTTCACCACTACTTGTTCCCCTGCCCTTTTCCTTTTTTTCTAGCAAATATTTACTGAGCATATACTGTGGGCAAATTATTTGGAAGTATCAATAATGCATCTCTGGTTCTTCCGGAGAACTGGAGAATCTCAAGAGGAGAAAATTCAAATAGCTTAGAAAATTAAATAATTTGTCCTGGCAGGATTGGCCATTAATTCCAGCACATTTTCCTTCAACATATTAATATACTCATTTTTTCTTTATGCAACTTAAATTCTATGGCCCATCATTATAATCACTCTCTACACGCACCCTCAATTCCCTAGACTTACTGCAATATACTCACTTGCAAAAACCCAGCTCTGGTTAAATCCTGCTCCCTCACTATTCAGGCCTATATTCATGGAGCTGAATATAACTGGAGAAATCATACCACCATGCTGGCTGGTCTCACTAACTTCAGAGGTAATGCCCAGGAATCATATCGCATCTTCCCATTCACTGCTCCACTCTTCTAGGCAACTATGTTATACCTTCCCTCTCATCTTCAACATTTCCTCCTTCAGCCTCCCTCAGCTGATGACCTGGTTTCCTACTTCATCGAGAAAATAAAAGCACTCAAAATAGCTTCTACAAGCTACCACAACCACATCTCCCCATCTACCTGCATCTATTTTTAATATAGTCTGTCTTTTCTCCTATTTCTATGGATGAACTATCTCTACCTAGACTAATTCTTCTATTTGTTCAAAGTATTCCAGTTCTTTTCCACCAATTTCCTTTTTAAAAACAGCTGTATTGAGATAATTCATAAAGCATACAAGTAACCCATTTAAGTGTACAATTTGTTTTTAAAAGTATATTAACAAGATTGTGAAATCATCACCGCGATCTAATTTTAGAAAATTTTTATCACTCCCTAAAAGAAATTCTGTACTCAATAGCAGTCAATCCCTGTTTTCCTCCTATAACTCTCCCAGTCCTAAGCAACAAGTAATCTACTCTTTGTCTCAGGTATTTCATATATATGGAATCATACAAAATGTGGTCTTTTGTGACTTGGCTTCTTTGACAGCATGACGTCTTTAAGGTTTATCCATTCCTATTTATGGCTGAATAATATTTTATTGTAGAAATATACCACATTTTCTTTATCCATTCACCAATTGATAGACATATGGGTTCCCATTTTTTGGCTATTATGAATAATGCTGCTATAAACATTCTTGGATAAGTTTTTGTGTGAATGTGTTTTTACTTTTTGTAGGTAAAACTGTAGGGTTATATTCTATGTTTAACTTTTTAAGGAACTGACAAATTTTTCTAAAGTGCCTGCATTATGTTACATTCCTACTGGCTACGTATGAAGACTTCCAATTTTCTCTAGTACCCACTCCAGTCAGGTTTTCATCTCATGTACTTGGAAAGGTTCCCAATGACCACCTTATGGCTCAAGAAATGGTCAATTTTTAAGTCGTCATCTTGTTTGAACTATTAGCAACATTTAATTCAGTTAATTTCACACTCTTCATTGAAACTCTTCTTCATTTGGATTCTAGGAAATCAGGCTCCTGTTTTTCTTCTACCTGGCTGAGCATGCCTGTTCCTCCTTCTTCTCCAACTTTTAATCATTAGCATGTTCCAGACTCAGTCCTTGATCTCTTCTCTTCTCTATTTACATTCATTCTCTTCATGATCTCACTTAGTCTAACTCACCTGCCATGTTTCCTGCTCCTAAATGTAGATTTATAGGCTAGATCTGTACTGTCCAATACATTAGCCAGTAGCAACATGTGGGGATATAAATTTAGTTAAATTTAATATTCATCTCCTCAGTCACATTAGCTGTATTTTAAGAGTGCAAGAGCCACATGTAGCTAGTAGCTACCAAATTGGAAAGCACATTATAGAACGTTTCTATCATCACAGAAAGTTCATTGTATAGCACTGATCTAGACCTTCCCTCTGAACTTTAGATTTTTATATCCAACTGCCTTCCTGATATTTCCACTTGGATACCAATAAACATCTCAAAACCAAAATTCTGATATTTCTCCTGAAACATTTTCCTTCCACTTTTTCCTGTTTCAGTTAATGTTAACTCCATCCTTCCAGCTGTTTTAGCCAAAAACCATGGAGTCACCCTTGATTTCGCTCATCTCACTCCACATTCAACCGATCAGCAAATTTTGTCAGCTCTATATCCAGAATCTGACCACATTTTACAATCTCCACTCTATTACTCTGTTTGAAGTCACCACAAACTTTTGTCAGTTGTAATAGCTTCCTGATCTCCCTGCTTCTGTCCTTAACCCCATCTAAGTTCTATTTTCAACATAAGAGCCAGAGAATTCTTGTTAAACTTAAAGTCAAATCATGTCACTTCTCTGTTTAAAATCTTCTAATGGCTTCCCAACTCACTTCCAGCAAAAGTCAAAGTTGCTGTAATAGCCTACAGGGCCCTATATGATCTGACCCCATTATCTCTCTAATATCTCTTACTACTTCCACTTCACACTCTCCTTGGCTGTTATACTAGCTGTTCCTCCAAAGCACCAAACATATTTCAGCCTTTTCATGAAATGAAATTTAAAATCACAAAGTCTGAGAATCACTAAGCTAGACTAAAAGAGGTATAAACAGAAATTCTACTTCTACATATCTAGGTACTCAAAATAATCTAGCCAGTAAATGGGATTAAATGATATTAATTATATAAAGAAAAGGGTCTTCCAAAAGCTGCAGTCTCAATCACTTCACTAAGCCTACATTTCACAAAAAAAACCAGTTAGCTAGTTGTCTGGAATGGTGCAGACAAACTAATCAGCTGACAATTTTTTAAAAAAATAAAAATTTAATTCCTAAAAATATTGTGAGAACATGGATTAAGATTTCCTATTAGGTAACCGTATAAATATATATATATACAAATTTTTATTCATTAAATTGTAAAAGACCTCAGTGTAATATACAATTTCCTGCTCTGTAAAGAAATTCTACTCAGTACAGCTGGTCTGCAAACTGTGTATTACTGGTTTGTTTTGAAATTAGAAATTTGCATAAGAATGCAATTCAATACACTGCTTCCTTCATCAAAAAAATTTGCTATGAAAAAATTTCAGGTAAACTAAACAGTTTACTAATGTAAATGTTTTACATTCCAGTACAAGCCCCTATCTCACTGAAGACTAGTAGCTAACATTTCATAGACTGGCATAGGTCCATGAGTCATACATACTCTGGGCAGCACTGCTCTAAATCACCTCCTGGGTCTTTAATTCTGCTCCGCATTTTTTAACACTTTCTACATGCAATGTCAGAGTTTCTGTGCCATTTCTCATTTTGCAATTTATTAGAATTAATATGTATCTTGTTGTTTTCTAGATGGCATTCAGTCTCCTTATTTATATTACAGAATTTTAATCCTGGTCAGAAAGAAGGCTTTAACATCCAAGAACAGTAACATACCAATAAAAAATTTTAATTGAGATTAAAAATTATAACTTTAAAATAAATTATATAATAGCACTTCAAGAAGGTGAAATTTGGTAATATATTAGCTTTGAAAACTTTTATTTTGAAAGAGATATAAAATCATCCACTTTTCAACACTAACCTAAATATTCCATCAGCTGTTCAGCAGTTATGATTTCCATCATCGGTGGAAGTTTCACCTGAAAAACAAAGTATTTTTTCTATAAAATCAAATGTTTTAGGAGATTAAAGTGTTTCTTCTATAAGAAACACAAGTATGTATGTATATATGTGTATCTACTACATGTATACATTAACATTTACATTATTAAAATCTTTATAATGATCTTTATAAAATATAACAAAGTTAATCCTATCGCCATAAAATTTGCAGAACAATATAAGGTCTCATAGAGACACTGAGAAATCTGTTTTCAAAGGCTAAGGATCTGCTTTTCACCACCCACCATGGCTGTCACTAGGCACCTGCAACAGTGTCCTGCATGACAGAAGTGCAGGTAAAGGGCAGGAAGAGGCACCTAAATGTTGTGACAGGTCACCCGTCGAAGAGTTTTACTGAAGATAGGCTTGAACACAGCTCAATATCCCATTACTTCAGTTTACCTCAGCCATTTTCTATTGTTGAATGGCTAAAATGGCTACATACTGAAAAATTCATACTTTATGATTCCACCTGTAAAGTTTTAAAACAGGAAATATTGTAGAGAGCTGCATGCTTGGTATAAAACTATAAAGAAATGTAAGGAAATGGATACTATAAAAATCAGAATTATGTTTAGCCCTAGGGATAAGAAAAGAAGTTATAGTTGGAAAGGAGCATATAAGAAGCTTCCGAGGTGCTGGCAATGCTCTAGTTCTTGACTTACATGGTAGTTCTGCTAATGTTTGCTTTAAATAACTTGTTAAACTGGACATTTCTGTTTTATGTACTTTTCTGTATTATATTGCACAATAAAAATGTTAAAAGTAGATATATAAATTACAGTCATGTTTAAGTTTCTAAAATTAATTCAGCTGTAACACATTAGTCCCAATTTTTCAAATGAATTGGCAGATGACTTACATGGATATTATAGCTAATGACTGTAAATATTTTAACTAACTTATTCAAAAACATACTTTGGTATATTCAGAGTAAGATGGAAATTTAAACAGTTAATATATTAATGATAGAATAGTAACAATTTTAAATTCTTCAGTAATTATTTTCTGTTCAACCAAGTAAATGATTTATATCAGCAATTTCTCTAACAATTCCCCCAAGTTGAAAAAGGTGCTCTGGGTGTTTATGTTACCAAACGTGGTAAGAGCATGTCACAATTTTTTTGTTTGTTTTAATAAATGAATAGAATAAGTTCTAAAACAGATCTCTGTTAACACAGAAGTGTGAGACCCTCTGAGAACATACATGACAGTTGATGATTAGGATTTAGACATCCAGTGGATTTATTACTCAATGAAAACCAAGAGATTCCAAGGAGGTTTTGATCATTACTTGATTCTAATTACTTTTATTTTCTATGACATGTAATAGACTATTTTTTAGTAGTTTTAGGTTTACAGAAAAATTGAGCAGAAAGTACAGAGAGTTCCCATATATGGTATATTTTTAAATTGAAACTCATTGACAAATTATGGTCCCCTGCCTGTTTTTTCTAAATAAAGTTTTATCAAAACACAGTCACTCTCATTTGCTTATGTATTGTCTGGCTGCTTTTACACAACAGTAGCAGAGTTGAATCTTTGCAACAGAGACCATATGGCCCAAAAAGCCTGAAATACTTACTGTCTGGTCCTTAACAGGAAAAGTTTGCTGCTCCCAGCTTTACATGATTTTAACTGTTATGTTTTATCAAAGTGCTTCAGTATTGCTTTGAAGGTCTGATATTTAAACAAGTAGTTTATGTTCATTGTGAATGTTTATATTCTGCACAACTGTCAGACCAATTTGAAAGTCCCATTAATACCTAGCAATGATTCTTACATAAAATAAGACCTATATGTTCTTTTATACCAGACAGATTCAAGACCGAAATATATTCACTAAAAAATTCCATAAACAAATACCTTATTCTCTGCTTTGGTTAATGTAGTAATCCTACCATAAAATTATCAAGATAAGAAAACAAGGCACTAACAAGTATATATATTTGGGAAATACATTATACAATCTTAGATTTTGACAAACACATAATTTCAAGGTTTAGCCTTGATATTTCTGAATAATAACTGCCTACCATGTGTTCCTTCAAATATTTGAAACAGGAAATGACAATCTCTATATTGATTTTAGAAGTGGGACAATAAACACATAACTATTTTAACAGACTTATTCACAAGCATACTCAGAGGTATATTCATTTCCTGAATCTTGGCCAATAAGACATTCTGGGTGTTCATTAAAACTAGGGACAAAAGAGTATAATAGTGAAGAAAAATGCCTGTCTCTCACTAACACTCTGGAGCCATCAACATCTTAACTTTTTTAAACCATAAAACGATCTTCCTGAAACATTGCTTCTCTTTGTTTTCCTCTACCACCATTACTTATAAGCAAGTGCCAAAGGTTTTGATAATGATCCTAAGACTGTCACTCTTTTGTCTCTTTAGATTGTATTAAAGAGAAACAGGTTATGGGATAGCCAGCTAAGAATACATAATTAACAATTGTGGCATTGTCTGAATCTCTAAATTTTAAATTTTACAAGTAAAAAAAGAAAATAAAGTATGACCTAGGTTCTCAAGTGGTCTTCTTTTAATAATAATCTGTAATATTTATAAGTAGTGAGAATAATGTATATATTGAGTACTTGGAAGGTACTCTTAAGTAGTTTAAATAGTCTTCCTCAAATTTGAGCAAAGCCTGCCAAATTAACACATAGATCCAAGAGTCCAGACAAAATGAAGATTTGATTCTCTAGGAAAATAAGGTATGTCCTACCCTAAATAACATTATTGTATTAACTAGATTTCCTGAGCAAAATTAATAATAAGCACAGCAAGAATATTTAAATTAACAAAAGGAAATAGCCACTCCAACTTCAAATATTCAACTATAGGATAAAACCTCATTAATTCAGCCCAATTATTCTGTAATTCTTAGTCATTTAAAGAGTGAAGTGTATTTTGGAATAGACTTAAGTGAGACCAAAAATAAAAACAACAAAACCTTCTGTTTAAAGTAATAAAATCTTAAACAGGAATATAAAACATCCCAAAAGTGATATGCCAAGATTCTGATACCTATTTTATATTCTGAGGGGATAGAGAAATGCAGAGGACCCAGAAATAACTAAGAAATAAGCATTTTATATAGGTGATGGCAAGTACAGAAATAACCAGCCAAAAAACATTATTAAATGTTTCATTAGAATACCAATTAATAAGTACTGAAGAAATACAGTTTGAATTCTAACACTTCTTTAAAGTTAGAAAAATACTTAAGGAGATAAAAAATTAAGTATTTGCCAGTCTCCGCTCTTTAGGAAATCCAGGGGAAAAAATTAAATGTGTTGAATTTATACTAATTGCCATTCAATTTGCATGTTACCTTTAATCCACAACAATCGTATGAAGCAGGCATTATTACCTTCATTCAAAGAATAAACAAAGGCATTAAAAAGTTAATTTGTCCAACTGGTGTAAATTGAGATCTGTGGTGTGAATTGAGATCTGACTCCTAAGTCAATTACTCTTTTCATTATACCACTATTCAAAGATTTTTAAACACAGCAAAACCCTTTCTTGCAATGAAATCTTATAAAAAACATCATCTGAAATATATTTTAAATGAAGAATTGACCAAATTTTGTGACCAATGAAAAGTGGAGGATAAGGGAGAAAGAATAATCGAAGTTGCCTCTAAGGCTCAAGAAACTCTAAAAATCAAGATTCATACAATCAATAAAAATAAGAAATTTGGTAAGAGAAGATAACTTTGTAGAAGATGTTAACTGCTCAGAACTGTGAAGTTTGACATTCAAACAAAAAATTGAGTTGGAACTCAGGAAACAACCATTTTTTTTTTTTTCAAAACACCTACAGCACCAGATCTTCATAGGTGCTCTCCCATCCAAGTACTAACCAGGCCCAACCCTGCTTAGCTTCCGAGATCAGACAAGACTGAATCAGGCATGTTCAGGGCGGCATGGCCGTAGACAGAAGACAACTATTTTTAATTTGTACATGAAATATTTGATTCCTATGCTGCAGTCTACTTTTGCATTATGGCAAGATAGACCAAGTAAATAATGCAATTTATTTTTGGTTCAAATTTTACTAATTTTGAATATGCAGTAAATCATATCATTCATGATATTTTTAGTTGTGATTGTAAAGAAATTATGTTTTTGAAAATATTAGAAGTATTATTAATGAGAATCGAAGGGAAGAAATGTAGTTTTCAAAATACAGACTAAAAAACTTAAGGATCCTTTCAACATACCTTTAATTTTGGCTACAGCAAATAAACTTATGTATTACAAGTTATTTTACATCATGTTATATATTTTAATTTCTTATATGTAATACTAATTTATTATGAAGAATAATTACTGTACTTAAAAGACTAAAATTTAGATTTTTAGTAAATCTAACTGACTTTCTACTTGTCATCAGTATTTCAAATCAGGAAAATTTTATGAGACAACCTTCAACTTAAAAATGCCAATTTGAAACACTTTCACCATCAACTTATCATAATTCAGACTCCATCATCAGAGTAATATGATGCCTATTTAAAACTACTTAAAACCATCAGAATCTGCAGATATATTCATACATATTAGATTTTCAAGAATGTCCTATTTTATATGCAATTTAAAGGGTTTTGGTGCAATGAAGAATATTGTTACAGTGAAATTTACCAATAGAAGATTTACTAGTAAGAGATCTTCAGTTCAAAATTCACTGGACTTATAGTTAAGCTCAGCAAACTTACCATGCTGAAAATTCTCCACTCATCACCCCCAAAAAAGCTGATTGTGAAACTTTAACAGTAATTGCTTAAAAGATAGATGGTGCCAAATGGTCGGAGACTAGTTACAAGGCTACTGAAATAGTCCAGGTGAGAGATGAAGGTAGCCTGAACTAGAGTAGTGGTTGTAGAGATAACTACTAATGATTGAAAATATCGTATTTAATAAACTACGATGGGAAAAGCAAGATCATTCACCACAGA